CATTGAACCACCATTATTATTAAAACCCATTGAACCGCCATTCTGTGATTGGGTTATGGTTTTAACAAGTTCGCAAAGATGATTCCAGTTTCAATCCTCCTGTCTGATTCACCTTGAATGGCTGGACTGTTGTGGTGCACTTGGTGTACCAGCCTTTCCGACGAGGAGTAGATGAACGAGGTTGCCGCTTTCCAAGCTCATCCGAGACCTTCAAGATGAGAATCAATCTCAGCAGTAGATGGAAGACATAGCAACAAATGATCGAGTCGTGATGACTCTAATTGAGACATACAGAAATGATGAAAGGCAACGCGGCAACTGTTTTATCGCCTTCACTTCCGGGTTTTCGCTTTCCACCACAGACGGAGGCATCTTGCATCCAGATTCCTGCATGAATTAAGGTTGAACATGGTTGAACAGAATCATTGCATCGCAGTTGCCCGAGGTCCAGCCTCCTTGAGATATGTTGAGAAAGCAAACAAGAATAGCAAAGCACCTGACTCTGTGTCGAATCATTGAAAATTCAAGCCCTGTCACATGACTGCTTCAACATCAGAGGATGCAGGCACCTGTTCCACACAGGACCAGCAAGCCAGAAAGCCAATTCTGATAGTCAGCGTGCGGCTGTCCGCAGATAGTGTACCAGGAGGCCACTCCATCTGCAAGCAAGCACAGGTTCTCACTGAAGAATGAACAAATGAATGCAAGTAAACACAAACAACAACCAACAACCAACCACAACAACAACAATAACAATAAAACAAAGGAGAAGAAGGAGAAGGAGAAGAAAGAGGGAGAAGAAGGAGAAGTAGAAGAAGGAGAAGTAGAAGAAGGAGAAGTAGAAGAAGGAAAAGAATGGGAGGAACCAGAAGAACGACAATGAGAAGAACAAGAAGAATGAGAAGAGTTCAGATTAACCAAATGCATGATAATTACAACGAAAAGAACGAGAAGGATGGACGAAGAACAAGAGCAAGCACAAGCACAGGCACAACCACACAAACCACGACAACGATAAGAAGAAGTCATGAAGGGAGGTGTAAGTTTCGCAGTTTCGGGAAACTGGAGGGAAGAATGGAAACTGGAAACCACAGTCCCTCCTTCCTGCCTGTCAAGGCTGCCTCTGGGGTGATCTGTTCCATTCCCGCCTGAATGATGACCATGATGACCATGCTATCAAAGAGAATGAGACTGTCTTGGAAGGTCTTGGATCCGCTTCAAGATGGTCCCCCAGTGTTCCCCATATGTTCCCCATATGTTGTCGGTTGTGTTGCATTAATTCATCATACCCAGTGTGTATAAACGTCATCGTCACGTTTAGGTCTAGGTAATATCAAGGCAACGAAGGGCTCAGCAATGCCTCGGGCATTCGGCATTCAAAATGGAAGTAGGTCGTAGGGAAACGCTCGCGGCAAATGTAACGCCTGAACTGTGCAGAGTCAACTCTGAATGCAGCGAAACCTGAGACAAGTCCACTCAGTCAACCGAGTCAACGTCAACAGAGGCAAAGTCACTTGCGCTCATAACCCATCAGGTCGATGTCGGTAGCATCACACGAGCCAAATTGCTGATGAACGCCAGTGGACACCTTGCGTGTGGAATTTCAATTTGGAAAGACTTGAGACTTGAGAGACTTCCAACCACAGCTCAGCTGTCCTGCTTCTCTGGAGAGAAGAGTAAGCCCACCAGGACCAGCGTTGCAAAATATGTGCAAAGCATTGCACGGACCGACCAATGCCTCAAACTACAAAAATAATGAAAATGTTTTTCTTTAATCTGAGTGTCCATTCAAATCTGCTTCAGATTCCGCAAGAAATTGTTGCGACTTCAAATTGCTTGAGAGGTGCTCTGGGCCATTGAGAAGTTGCGCCTTCTTTTGAGGCCAAGCCTGGCTGATTGCAGACCATGATTGGTCCAGGCAAAGATTTCACCAAGAGAAGATAGTCGCATAGTCCAATGGTCTAGAAACGTCGCATTCTATGCATCCATCAGCGATGTCAATGGGAAAGCTGCTAAATGACGAAAACTCTGGCCTCCGGCTTCGGTTGGCAAATGCACATCGCTGCAAAGCAAAGAGTAGCAGCCAAAACTGTTTGCGGACCAGGCATTCCGATCCTGGCAATGTTCAAAAATGTTGCAGAAAGCCTGGTCTCCTTCTTCAGCGATGCTCCCATCACACACTTGCAACAGGACCTTGCCTATCCAAGCCAAGAACTGTGAAAACGTTGAGCACTATGATCATGAGAGGGGTAGACCTCGGACAATGTCACTCCTCTTTTGGTCTTTTACAGCTTCCCATGCCCAACAAAATCTGCTTTGTTGTTTCTCTTCCAGTCAACCCACAATCTTAACATTTCGCTCTGTACGAGCGTACATTGCAATTCTGTTGTCTATATACATTGAATCATATGGTACTATAGCCCAGTCTGTTTGAAAACTGTGTACTCCAAGGCACTCCTGCGAGATCAAAACTAACTCTCTGATGAGCATTCAAAATCTAACAGCCAAGTGACCAGCAGGCCAAGGCCAGTGTCTTGACTTGACTCCATCCAAGATCCGCTCCTAGGCGCCTGACAGGAGACAAAGACAGCTTGACAAACAGCTTTGGAGCTCAGTAGCGCTGAGGAGTCTGCAGCAAGAGGGAGAAACAAGCCGTGAAAGTGATGGTCCATGCCTCAGAGACCAAGACGATCAACCTCCATGTACGAGTAAGATGACTTTAAGATGACCTCTGATGGCAACAATCTGATATATAATCCTTTTTTGGTACAGTATATGTCAAAAATCTGATGCCTTCCAAGTGTTGGATTTGATGCTGGCACTGCGGCTCTGACGGTGCTCCCTCCCGGAACGCCCAACCAGCGGAGTGCCACACCGGGGTCTGTGTCGTGCCAAGTCCACCTTTGCTGGAATCATGATCTCGAGTCTCGACTTCAACAAATTCCAGCGTATTCTCCAGTTGTTTTCGAAACATGTTGAAACATTTTGAGACCAGATCCAAAGCTTCAGAGGAAGATCTGAGGTCTGCTAGTCAGCTACACCAGATTCCGATCAGATCTTGATTTGTTTCGACATCAGGCCGGAGAACCAGAGGAATCTTGCGCCACACATGTCGTAAGGAGCATAGAAGATCATGGCGAGCAAGCCTGAAGGAGGACAGCTTTGCAATGCGCCTGAAAAATCCGAAACTTCATCATTCGCAACTAGGCCTTACAGCGAAGGCAAAGAAATGCCAAGCGCCCAGGACATCATCATATCTCAAGCTCAAACAACATCAGCTAGCCGCAGCTAGCCAACAAGACGTGCTAAAAAGATCTAAAAAGCACTGTGAAGTGCCTGCAAAGCTCGCTTCTGCTAACGCACTGCTGCGTGCATGTCGAAAAACTCTGGCTGCCGCAACCTTGCTGTCAAGTACAATGACACGTTGGACAAAAAGCATGGCTTTGGGCGGTATGCCGCATCCTGTTCCTGATGTTACTGGCGCACGGACATACTGCAGAGACAAGAAGGACAAAATGATCTGGCACCAAGAATCCCGCAGTAGACCAATACATGAAGCCATTGTACACGCAGGGGATATACAGTGGCATTCGGGGAGTCAGCATGATCAAGCCCTGAGCCTCGCCGGAGCCGAAGCATTACATGCAAACTGCACTGATGACTCATGCACAGTAATGTAAATTCATATCCCCAATCCCCATTCTCAGTTTGTATGAGTCGTTGCAAATGCAGTTGCAAGCACAGCCATGCTATTGCCACCTATTGCCTCTAGTTTCCCCGCCTGCCAAAAATTGTCAACCACAGGAAGGAGCATGAAGATGTAGTCATTGACGGTGCCTACTATGAAAGTGGCAACCCAAATCCTCAGATCCAAGAAATTTCAATGCCAAAAGGGCTGCCAAAAGGGCTGCCAAAAGGGCTGCCAAAAGGGCTGCCAAAAGGGCTGCCAAAAGGGCTGCCAAAAGGGCTGCCAAAAGGGCTGCCAAAGGGCCTGGACAGAATGACTCCCATCTCCTTTCTTTTCAGCCAGGTTTCAGCATCAATCGCCTTTCCTCTTTGGCGTAGGATTCGCAGGCTGCATGAAGAAATGCAAACCCAGAGAGCAGAAAGAACAAGACCTGCACCAAGGCCCCAATGCGCTGATATTTTCACACACTGGCACTCATAGGATGGGGATTTCAACAATTGTTTGTTTCTAGTCTCAAGCCCTCCAGACAGGGGATCATTCAAGTCATTCAGCTAGACAATAAATAAATTTCACCCAGCCAAGTAAGCCAAAGGAAGCAGCCGGAGCAGCCGAAGCAGCCTCTGCAAATACAAAGGATGGATGATGCGCCAGTTGCTGTTCCAAAGGGTTGAAGCTCCGCCACGGCCACCTCCGAGCTCAGCCCGGTCGGGGATCAAATGAGCACCACACATCACCACAAAATCACCGATCTGATCATCTTAGATCCTTCTACTGGGTGCTGGACTGGTTATACTCTCGGAAGTGCTCCAAGAACAACCATGACCTTATCTTTTGAGGATCGGAATAAGGATATGTTAGAATTCCAAAATTCGAAGCACTTAGTTTCTTGCAATGAATCCATCTCCACACCCACCACGATGATTGTGCTAAATGTCTGGATCCGTGTATTCAAATTCCGCATTGTGTCAAGCAACAACTGCATTGTTTTATTGCATTTAGTTGCCAAGTCTACCCTGATAGTCAACATGAAAACGTTTGCACTTTACCCAATTGTAGGAGTATCATGATTGGCGCAAGAGAAACGACATGATTGCAATCCTGCGAGCCAAAACAGCTTGCCAAAGGCCAATAATTCCCATATTTCGACATGTTTGTCACCATGTTTATGCCGTTTTCCCACCTCCGTAGGCAAATCATAGATGCTGGGTTTTGCCTGGAGGGCCAAATGGTCTTCTGAAATGGATATCATTTGCGGACCTTGATTCTGACTCAATCAAAACGCAGTTGAAATGAGGATTAAAAAGCGTGAAAAAAACATTTTTTGGACAACTGGGCATTGCATCACCATGAACTCACCCAGAAGCCTTGCCAATGTCGTCCTGCATGCAACCAATTGGACCAAATGAAACGTGTTTGACGTGTATATTGTGTGCCTATTCCGATTGAAGGGCGGTCCTTCACCAACACGGCATTCCCTGATTTATTGCAATATGCCTGCAAATGACCAAGAAAATCGACAGTGTTGCAGTGAAAACACAAAAAAAATGTTACACCGAACTCATGTAATACAAGCATCAGGGTTTCCATGCCTCTGACATAGTGCTGGACGCACTGCCTACCAACGGAAGCGCCGCACAAACGCAAGCAGTTCCGGTCTGAAATTTGTTTCGAGCCAAATGTGCACAAAACACATGGAACCTATCCCCATAGCCAATCAACAAACAAATGAAACTATATATGCAAATGAATACGCATACACAAAGCTGGAACTACCAACCACCACGCAACAAATTGTAATCTAAAAATCAATATACATCCCAAAAAACCACAGTGAACTCAATACAAATTCGAACAAAAATCAATCAATGATGATGTGTTCCAGTTTTAATATCTGCAGGTTGGGTTGAGTTTGTGGTAAGAAACGTCGACCCTATCACCATTGGAGAACAGCACGCGCAACATACATGTGTTTGTTCGTACGAACCTAATTTCACAGACACGATGTTGCGATTGCAATGTTGAAATTGGTGAAACTTGTTTTTGAAAAACAGTCTAAATTCATGTGACACCTGTGCCATGATGGAAGTTCTGGCTCATGCACAACGACGCATTTTTTGAAGATTGGGTTCGTCTCGTGTTACATCTTGGAACCATTGCGCTTATGTGCTGTGCATATTTGTTTGACATTGTTTCCATTTCATTGCATGGCGATTGTGCGAACATTTCTGCCGGCCTCAAAAAAATTCCACGTTTCACCCGACGATTTTTAGGAATGAAGAACGAACTGCACAATAATGAAGTTGTGACGAACCGCGATTAAAGAACGGCAGATTAACACAACAGGGCACAATCGAGAACATTGTCAAGCACAGTCCAAAACACCGTCAGGCGTAGTGCTGCAAAACTGTGTGCAGCACCTGTTCGCAACTCCTTTCATCTCGTTGCAACTCGTCCCAACTCTTTTCACATTTTTTCAACTCTCCACACCTCTTGTCACCTCGTCTCGCCTCTTCTTGTGTCACTTGACCCTGCCTCAACGTGCACTTGACTTGATTTTGCAACGCAAAAGGGTGCTTCAAACCCGTATCTCAGCGCCTGTTACGGTACCAGTGTAGGCTGTCGAACGTGGAATGGATTGGAGTGCAGAGTGTGGAGTGTGAAGGCACGGTTTGAAGTGGGGATTGTGGACTGCAGTTTCACTCTGATTGGATCCGTGTTCTGTAGGTTCTTCACCTTTGACAACTTTCCTAGCCTTTTTTTTTGGCGTTTTTTTTGTTTGAAATCGTCGTTTTTTCCTTCATCAAATTAAATTTCAACAGACTCAGCATCAGCGACACCACCATCATCATCATCATCATCATCATGCTGAGATTCAACTGGTGCTTCCTCCTCAGGCGCACTGCTCTCAGCCACCGAAGGGGCAACCTCCATCTTCATGACAACTCACAAATTTTGCAGGACATCGGGCTGCAGTTCCGACATGTCTAAAAAATGTGAATTGATCTCAAGAGGAATCTGGGCCATGCAAGGCTCCAGCAGACATGCCATCTCTCTGAGCGAGCGGGAATGTCCAAATGCGCCCATACCACAGGATTTTTTTTGAACAGAAATTGGGTTGTCAGCGACCCGTCGATCGATTGCATAGCAAAGTTTATCCTTCACGCCTGGAGGTGGGATGGGTTTGGGGGGTCAAAACCTCCAGGCAGGGAGAAACATTGCCCCACCCATCCACAATTGAATAAAAACGATACGGCGGGAAAAAACAAATGTCAGTGCTCTCACGACAAAGTTACGTAAAAGTTGTCCACACAGATTTGTGATTTCTAACGAAAAAAAAACGGGTTTCAGATTTTGTCTGCTTGCCAAATTTGAAGCTTTGGGCCCCAAGACTAGCGAGGAAAGCGTCAGAAAGGATACCGCGTGAGGCAGGTGCGTAGACAAGAAGGACACAAGAAGGGGGGACGACGTGAGGACGATGGCAACCCACCTGTGAACCTAATTAGAGGCGTATCACTAAATTGAGCCGCTTCTTTTTTCGAACAAGGTTCACCTCACGCACCCCCACTGCATTCAAATCAAACGGAAAGTCATAGCACTTCATGCAGAGCTAGCCATGTATAGGATCCAGCGAAGAAGCCCAGGATGTCGATCTGCCGCCTCGTAGCTGGCACGGAAAATGCATGTCGTCCAGGGTAGCTGACCATCAGGTGCAGGAGCTTACTGCTCGGATGCAGGAGCCTGCAGATCGTTCGCGCCGCAGTAACCCAAGTAGTGTGCACCGGTCTCATGTGTGCTGGGAGGGCATTGGTGTCTTGCAGCAACTTGATAACGCTGGTCAGCAGGACATATGGGTTTTTGATGAGAGTGGAAGGGCAGCAGGTTCTTATGACGTTTATTTTCTTGAAGTTTTCGGAACCTGTCCTTCTTGGTCGGCTGCCACTCTTCTCCGGGACTCCAATCTGTTCTGCAGCATGTTGCGTACATTCCCGGTAGTGTCTGTTGCGGTCGTTGTTCCGAAGGGAGACGATTTGGTCGTACTGCTTCCCGTCCAGTAAATGCGGCGATTTGGACACTTGCAACTCCAAGCCCTTCCCTGTCAGGGCCGCGATGGCGCCTCTGTCAAATTTTTCGGACAGGAAAAAGTGGATCCCATCATCCACCTCCTAACAAATAGTAAATTAGTCGTTCGTGGACTGCGGCGTCTCTACTGCAATGACTTGCTTAATCTACCAAGAATCCGACATGCTATGGGTCTTCGGCAAACTTGCAAATCAAGCCAGTTGAGAAACTATAGGTCAAAAAAAATGATGGTAATTCATGGCTTCGTGCATGGTTGTCTGGTGATTGGCACTTGGGCTTGTCAGCAACACCTTTTGACAAAGGATCCACAGTTCTGCTTTCAAACTTTCGAATTGTTTGAGCACGAGCTTTCGCCCGGTTCTTGAATGTCATGAACAGCCTGCACATGCAGTCCAGAAGTTCATGGAATAAATGAAATGCGGCGTCCTGCCCCCCAATGTGCAAACCTTGTGGCATCGGCGTGTCTGCGAATCAAAAAGAAATGTGTTTGTCGCACAACACAAACAAGATGTGGGTCTTACCGTCAACGCACCTCTTTTGCACTTCGTCCGCACGTCGTCTCATTTCCAAAATCCCGCGCAAGTCCAGTACAATATCTTGTTTGGGCCACATTGACCTTTCACAAGCCCATTCACAAGTTGAAGGCTTCGGATCTCATCATACTTGAAATCTTTGTCCAGTGTCAGTTTTTGGCCACTGCAATCTGGACTCAGTTCCATATTGGATTCGTCACAATCGTGCGTGGCTTGCACATACCAGCAAGGTGCCACGTAGTTGAAACTGCTGCACAGATTCAAATAAATCCAATGCTTGCTAGCATCCTCCAATCATTTCAGCAGGTTGCACATGTTTATGAACATGGCGACTACCTAAAAATATGCCTATACCTTATTTCGGACACGGTTCACCTCACGCATCCCCACAGTGCGCACTTGACTTGCGTTCGACTCAAACGGAAAGTCTGGTTCGGAATACCTCGAAAAAACAAACGTCACAAAAACCTTTTGACCTTCCAGTCTCATCAAAAATAAAAAACGCGCTGAAAACATGCAGGACGACATAGAAGGAGGAGGAGGAGGATTAGGGAGGCAGAAGGTAAACCAGTCAATAAAATATAGAGACCCTCATCTGGCAGGTGGGCAGTGATGTGAACTAGTGCGTTGTTTGAAACCATGGCAGCAAGAATATGTAAGCGGCAGCATGAACGCTATTTGTTCATGGACCTAAATGTGAGAAAGCATGTCTCATTGAGTTGGCGCAGGCTTCCAAGGCACTCGCCATGCGAAGGAATAAGGAGCGTCCCCGCTGCGTTCCATGCGAAGGCTGGCTGACAAAGCATTCGAAGAATAGATTGCAGCTAGGTGGCGCCTGGCTTCTCTTGAGTTGAAGCACTCATAAAGCTTTTGGGTCATCTCCAAGAAGAATCTGGCGGTGAAAAACACGGGCTTGGCCTTTTTGCCTCTGGAAATCAATGCTCCAGGGAGCGTGCGAGCCACATCAGAATCGGTGACAGGAAAATACTCCTTCCAAGCTTCATCGGGTTGAGTTGCGCCAAAGGCACTCTGCTGGCGAAAGTGCCAACATTGGTGCATGCACGACATCGCCACGGTTGCATAGTGAAGGGCACTGGCAGTGGCAAGTCTAGCAACCATTGGATGTTCTCATTCCGCTTCATGTGCTCCACATGGTGCGTTTCTCCAAACTCAGCAGCGGAACGTAGATGAATGTCAAGGGCGGCTGGCCGGACAACAACTGGATCTGCGGCAGCACTTGGAAGCGGAGAAAGAAGCTGAACAGGTCGGCTGACAGCATGATAGGCAGCAAGTATGACTTTGCACAAATCTGGGACGTG